CAATTCAATTTCTGGCATGCATTTGTAAAGAAAAGTATTTACAAATAAAGGTAGTATTTATTAAAGGTACTTCTTTAAATAAATAAATAATGAAACGTAATGTAATGGGAATGTAATAATTTAATAATCACCACTAAGGATAATAAAAAGATAAGTAATATATGACTTTTTTATCATTTAATATTATATAATATAATAATATTATATTTAATATAATAAAATTACTAATTTTATTTAGTAAGAATGCATTAAATTGATCAAAGTGATAGTAAAGACATTTATAATCTTATACAAGATTATATTTCTATGCTAATTCTATTCTAACATTCTAATTCTATTTTATTTCTATTTTATTTCAAATTAATTGTTATTTTGAACTATGTATTCATAAAACAGTCCTGAAAAAGTGTAAACATTCCCAAAAGGAATAAATTACATTCTAAAATAGAAAACAAAAATGGTAATAATATTTCACAATATTACTGTTTTTATTAAAATATTTCAGTTTTAATAATACTTCACAATATTACTGTTTTTTGTTTTTTTTTAAGCAGAAAAGAGAAAGAAGTCATAAGAGACTTTCATAAGAGAGGTGTGTGTGTATATATATATATATATATATATATCAAGTCAGACATTGTTGTCACTGGATTTATACAGTATAGTGTATTAAAAGCAGTCAAAACAAACAATATTTGAATATTTGGAGAATATTTCAGGTGAGATGAGAAACAAAACCAGGAACAAGACTGAAAGTCTTGAATGTTTTTGGACAGCTGCACTAATGAACTCAAAGACAAAGACAAAACATGGACAAAAGGCAGGTGGTATCCTTGAAGGAGGTCTACAGCAAGCTGCCCAAATGTATGACAGCTCTGTTGCATCGTTATCTTAGGGCACACAACACATACCCACCACAATGTACAAGAGCCACAGGCTGTGACCTAAAATGTGGGTCACGCTCGCAACCCTTATTCCGATCAAGCCTGATCCGGGTCTGTTCCCCCACAGTGTGTGTGTGTGTAATTTGTTACACTTAAGTTCAGCTCAGGTCATTGTATATGTGTCTGTGAGGTGCAGAGGTCAAGTCAAGAGTTCAGGTCCTGTTGACCCAATGCTGGACGTATGCTGAGTGTTCCCCTTTCTTCCATCCAGACTCAACAGGCCCCCGGGGATCTCCCAGTCCCTCGTGTCAGTCATCCGCACTGAGGAGGGTGCAATGACACGGGCCACTGATGAAACAAGAGACGGGTCCACCAGGGACGAGGGCAGGGGGGACACAGCAAAGACCACAAAAGACAACCAAATCACTTGGTTTGAGTGGAAAAGGAGCATGTTATCACATATACATGCATGACTCTTTTTGGCGACTTCTATGTGCCAGTGGTTGCGCAAGTATTAAAGAGTGGCCTGTCAGTACAAATACAGTATGTCTTTCATGCAAATCACTTTACATACAAGTCAAATGTAGTTTTTTTACAAATGGCCAAAGAGAGACAATTTCTCTAAATGCATCAATCTGTTGTTATCAGAGAAGACTGCTGTTTGCTTGCTTTTAGACAGTTTTGAAGAAAAAAAACTGCGCTCTTTGTTCTCTTTCTCTGGATCATTGTTTCTACAATGGTGATTATTTTAACCAAGTTTTTTTTTATTTTATACCAAACAAGGCCATATGTCTACTCTAGAACATAGGGGACCAATTGTTTTGAGGAAAATAAAGACCAGACTGGTATTTATTTAAAGGAACTAAATAAATATAGGATTTAAATTGATTTAGGGGAATAAATTAAAAGAAGAAAAAAGAACAGTAAAAGAACAAGAATAAGATTTTTTTGCAAAGTAATCAATCTGAACTGCAAATAAAATGTTTATTTTAAAATATGCACCATTCAATTTTATTTGTAGGCTATTCCTAATATGTTGAAAAATGCTATTGTCGTCACATTCAATTAACTTAGACCGTGGCTATGAATTACATGAATCACAAATGACAGGCCTAAATTCAATTCACTGGGTATTGTTGGTCGTTGATGTCATTGTAAAACAATTGTAAAATAGCTATTATACGTTTAGCTACGTCGTACCTTCACTGAAGCGAAATTCATGCTCGGTTTCTGTGAACAGTAAGGCCCACCTTCTTTGATTTGATTGGTCATCTTAATCATTTTGACATTGATGAGCGCTGCCTGTTAGACGGCTAGAGCTGAGGCAGACCAGAAAATGTAGTTAAAATGCAACAGATTTTACTTTTATCCGATGAAAATTCTGAAAGAAAATGCTTCGTGAGCCGACTGTTTCTTTATAGTAACGAACGCAACTTTCATCGCACAAGCTCTTATTTCGGTGTTGTTGTTTCTAACATTGTGGTCATTTAAGCAGGCAGTTTGTTTCTTACATTCAATTTAACAGCATTAACAGCAAGTCAAAATTGGTAAGCTTTCAACTGAACTGTATACATGCACTTTAAACGCTTCCTACGTTCTTGCCCCGTCCATGCAGTAAATGCACGTTATTGAAAAAGTGAGGTTTTCTAGAAAAATAATTCAACTGCTCAGGGGTGCGTTTCCCAAAAGCAACCATGGTCGCAAGTTCCGTCGTTACCAACAGAGTTCAATGGAACTAACCACTATTGTTAGCTAACGATGCTTTTGGGAAACGCACCCCAGGTAATTTCAGTGGTAGGCTAAGGCACATATTCATGTAGATACCTATTAAACTCCTGTAATTCGCACACTGATAGCGCGCAAATATTTATGCCCGTTTTCGCTCGTTGTCAGCCTCTGTTTTTCCTCAACAGACTGAAGCCTCCGCGTGAATGTATAGCGCGCCTTTGCTTTCAGCTAATAAAAGAAAAATTATGCAATTTCTGGTGTTATTTTTTGATTGTTGGGACAGTCTTCAGCTCTTAATCGTCTCAAAATACAGTGCACTTCAGATTGCTTTTAATCACTGCATAAAAAGATTAACGCAATCTTTACCTATAGTTCTGATTGGGTGGGCAAGACAGACATTTGGTTGCACTCTAAAAAATGCTGGGTTAAATAATCCCAACTGCTGGGTTGTTTTGACCCAGCAGTTGGGTTCAAAACATACCAACTGCTGGGTCAAAACAACCCAGCAGTTGGGATTATTTAACCCAGCATTTTTTAGAGTGTGGGCTCAGCTCAGCCCACCCCTGCCTATGCTGGAGCCGGTGTTCTGACGATTTGTGCTAGCTGCTCAGATTGTCTCCCATTAAAAAGTTAGGTAGCACAAATCGATAGCGAAAAATGCTACCTATCAGATTGTGCTACCAGCATCTTATTCATGTGTCCATACCTACACCTACCCGTCCATACCTACCCTTACCCTAAACTTAACCTTAAAACAATGCAAATATATTTTTGGTAGCACAATCTGATAGGTAGCATGTTTCATTGGTATACCGGCCCGATCTGACATTGGCAACTAATAAGAAGAAAGTTAAAGTGGCAAAAGAAAAAAACGTAACGTAACGTAATGATTGGATGGCCAACTATTTGAATGGATGAATGAATAAAGGCTGATAATAATAACAATAACTAAGTTGTAATCACCATTCTAATATTGTTCTAAATGGGAATAGTGAAGTCCACATCAAAGATATAATGAACAACACAGAAGAACAATATCATTGGAATCACTTTCAGAATGATTCTTCATAATGAGCTGATGTATGAAAAAAAAATGACAGCCAATCTTAGTCCATCTGATTTAAAGCGCTTGAGCATTTAAAGCATATAATAGTAATTGTGTATACAAGCCAATCAAACCTAATGAAGTGAACATCTGCAGAAAGCATGAGATGAAACTTCACCGGATATATTCTGTTTTGAATAAAATTTGTCATTTAGCATTATAAATGACTTTACTTTTTTTAATAGTATTGGTTTATTTAAAGTATTGGTTTATTTTAAAAAAAATGCAAAAATGTCATGGTGTTTCCACACTTTGAAGTAAGTGGTTACTTTACACCTACTCTACAGTTTGGAAGCACCATAAAATGTTTTTGCGTTTTGGAAGATATTGATAGTTTAAAACAAATACAATCGTTCTTTTTTACCAAAACACACAAGGTAAAACCATGGATAGCTAGTCTTCTGGCAGGTTTTACAAGAGTTTGGGCACTTCTTAAACCAGCATTAGAAAAAGATTTTTATGGACTTGTTATGGAAATAATATACTTAAAAATATATGGAAGTACAAACTGAATGTGTCTTCGGACACTTTATTGCATATTATTTACAATGAAATTAGTCAATTAAAATGTAATTAAAATTAAAATGTATAATAAATTATAATTTCAACTTATATTAAATGTTGAGGTGTGTTTTGGATCCACTTAAACCGAACTTAAGTACACCTTTATATGCAATTTCATAATTACTTCTATTGTCTTTGAAATATGTTTAAAGTGTATACTGACAAGCATTTATGGTAAACTAAAATATACTTTAATGTAATTCTATTGAAACCTGTATGTATTTAAATATACTTGTAATCACACATTTGTAATGATGAGCTTTCAATTTAGCACATTTAAAATAGTCACTTAAAATAAAGCTACAGTTTATAATAAAGTACTTTACATGTGCTTTAGTATGTCAGCCAACACATCAAAATAAGACTGAACAGAGTGATGTACAATATAACAGTATAAGGTAATAATAATAATAACTAGAGAAAAAACAGTTAAAAGTGAAACTTAAGCTGAAATTAAAATAATAATAAAATAATATGCCTTTAGAGCAGGCTGAAATAGAAGGGGCTAATATGATTATTATTGCTATTATTATTATTATTATTATTATTATTATGATGATGTTTGAAATAAATAGAAAGCAAAAACAATCTTATTAAAAAACAACATCCTGACTCATTTTCTTCTCTTACAGGAAACATTACAGGAAACTGTGGTTAGCAAAATCATTTTTGACTTAGTTTTGTTCTAAATCAGATCTGACTTCCGTTCTGTGTTTCAGGCCAAAATCTTTGAGCAGAGGGATGTGGCTTTACCCAGAGTGTCTGCGTATTTTCATCAGGAATCAGTGAAGGAACTAGAGCGGGCAGAGGCAATGCTGCAGTATCTGTCCCAGCGCGGAGGAAAATACTGCAATAAGAACATCCAGGTAACTCACCCATCTAACCAGTTAACCAGAGCACCACCACAAGACTTGGCCGAAGTGCCCTGTATTTTTTCTTAAAAGAAATAGCACCTAGATTTGAAACAAAGAAGGTATCTCATTCGTTTAAACTCATGTTTACTCAAAGTGTTATGATCATAAGCCTATTTTTCTTTTGACTCTTGTCTGTATGGGGCAGCAGCAGCTCTTAAGGGGGATGGAGGGCAGAGAGAACGAGAGCAATGGGGGTAAGCCAGCCGGGGGTTTTGTAGAGATCTCCCCTTTAATGCCTGTTAGGGTATATACGTTTCCCCTGAGTTCTGGAAAATTGGCGAGATTAATGTGAAGGCGGAAGGACAGTGCATTAATTGTAGTTCCAGATGGATTCCATGGCACTCGCTGCTGTCACTTTACACTGCGTCCTCTCTTCTTTCTATTTTTTTTTTACTTTCCAGCCTTTGCTGATTTAATGACTCGTGTAAAATTGATCCGGAATGGGACTGGTGAGGGTCCATCAGCAGCGATTTTGAACACCTTGTTATCCGCTCATCCGTGCGGGGTGATGGTTGGACACACTTGGAAACAACTGTGTGCTGTCTTACTTAATTGTAGCTCAGTTCAAATTTGACCAATACATGGACTGATCCATTTAGATGGTTTTTAAGTTGTTTAATAAAGCTTTTGCAGCATTTTTACAGCATAGAAGAGTTGTTTACATTATTTCAATGATTATTTATTCAAAAATACATGTAAAAGATTTGTTATTTATGCTCACTAAGGCTGCATATACAGTAAATATTGTGAAATTTTATTGCAATTTACAATAACTGTTTCTTATGTGAATATATTGTAATTTATTCCTGTGATCAAAACTGCATTTTCAAAATCGTTACTCCAGTGTTCAGTGTCACATGGTCCTTCAGAAATCATTCTGATATGCTGATTATGCTGAAATTTCTTATTAATATCAATTTTGAAAACTGCCTAATAATTTTGTGAAAAATTCTGACATGAATTGAAAATTCAAAAGAACAGCTTTTATTTTGAATAAAAATCTTCTGTAACATTATAAATGTTTTTACTGTCACTTTTGATTACATCCTTACAGAATAAAAGCATTAACCTATTTCAAATTACGAGCATGTTTTTACATTTCTGAATTAAATGTTGATATTTTTGGAACATAGTGCTACAACTGTCCTGTTATATTATGATTGATATGAGAAAGACACAATTAAAAGACTTAAATTCTTGAAAGAAACCCCTTTTTAAGTAGTTTGGCATAATATTTTATTAGGAAAAAATTGTTTAACAAAATATTTTCATTTCTTCTTTTTCTTTTTTTTTTCTTCTTCTTCTTCTTCTCATTATAATTTTTTTTTTTTAAATCTTTATAGAAAATCAGATCATTTGATTTTTTTTCCCGGTTTGTGAAATGTCATGTGATGCGACTCCCAAAAACTTAATGATATTTTGAATAAATAATCTGTGATATTTGTAAAAACTTTTAACCTTAAAAAAAAATTGTTCAAAAATGTGGTCAAAAATAATGATTAAGCACACTCACATGTATCAAAAATGTCAGGAAAATTTTACTATTTACTTGATGGTAACACCGCATGACATTTTTATAGCGATTCAAGTGAAACTTTTCTTTAAACCATATGAAACCAACATAAATACAAATGGTACATTTCAAAGTACTTTGTGTAAAAGTTTTAATGTTTTTTTGTTTGTTTTTTAATCATGGACACTTTTATTTTGTCACTGGCCCAAATGTGACCTGCTGTGATTCTACCATGATGAATACCTTACCAATTAGACACAAAATCTAGTTTAGAAAAGCATGTATAACTTCAACAGCACTCAAGGCCAAGCTATATCAGCCCCGTCCCAAATGGCACACTCACGGGCTTCCCTCACAAGCGTCTGTGAAGTCCAAGCGCCTGTAGGGGCTATTAGATTTCAGAAGGGTGCTGGAACACTGCATTCACCAATCAGCACCCAGAACCGATTCATTTTATATTTAACCTAAAATATGTAACATTTACAGAGGCCATGCACTGAAGAGGTGTGTGCCGTCCTTCCTGCTCTGGAGATGATGCTTAACCAGTGGAAGGAGGAGATGAGCGTCATGCTGGAGCTGAATCAGCTGGCGCATGAGTACGGAGATCCACACACCGCCAGCGTAATCAAGAGTCAGTTCATTCAGCCCCTCGTCCCAAAGGTCAAACTCATCGGTGACCTCTTGACCAGCGCTCTCAGAGTGGGTTGCACCGGTGACAGCACGGGTGGCTTTGGCGAGTACCTCATCGACCGGCTACAAGAGACCGCTTAGTCTTTCTCTTTGTTAATCATTTAGGAACCATGTTTGCACTGTAAAAAGTGACTATTCAAAGTAGTAAAAAAAAAACAAAGATTATTGGAGTACCTTTTACAAGAATAGCCTATTTCATCTTAATATTTCAACTGAATTATTTCATTTCAACTTAATAATTTTGTGTTTAATTCAATTTGTTACTTGCCATTTCTTTGTAATTATTTGTGAAATTGACTAGCCTAATAATGTTTCAAAGTAAATCCTACACCTAATTTTCTAAGTGTGTGTCTTTGGCCCTTAAACAGATTACATATTACATATGTCTGAGAAAGATTACATATTGGTCCAAAAGGGAAAACAAAGTGCATAAATGCACTCACAATAGTGCCAGTTTTGTATGTAACAAGTCTCTCCAGTTGTAGATATTTTAATGTCATTCCAGTAAAATCAATGTATTCTTTAGTGACAGTAAGCCGAATAAGAGTTTAAACTTCATTCTCTCTCTCTCTCATTTTATTTTATTATTATTATTTTTTTTTTTTAGTGCTTCACAATTATATATGGAACACTGCATTGCCCTGTTTATCCTGTGTGTGAGAAATGTATTTGTATTTCTTTTTAAAAACCTACTTTTGAAAAGTAAATATATATTTAACATTTGCAAGTCTTTGTTTGGTGAGCATTATTTCAAATGAAAATGACATTTGTATTTTTTGGAAAATTTTATATTTTAGTATATTTTAGAATATTTTACCTTGTCCTCTATGTTTTGACTTTTGAATGTTATCCTGCACTGTTTTTAATAAACAAAATGTATATGCGTACATGTGTATTTTTTTTCTTTACAGCATAAAAAGTGCTGGTAAAAGAAATACAGTAAAATATGATTGTGTCACACAATTGTCAGGTTATGTGACAAATGAGTGTAACATAAAACATTTTTAACATAAAATCTTAGGATATATGTAAAAACAGTTTACAATAGGCTATCAATTCCAGCAGGCTCTATTCAGGCAAAACGTACTAATAGGAGAGACAGAGGAACTCTCTCTCTCTCACACACACACACACACACACACACACACACATATTTAGAGCTTCTCAAACAGAAAAGTAGTTTTAACTCTCATCTGGCTCTTTAACGCCCCCTATTGTTGGACTGTTGTGCGGCTAGCAGCTATTGTAAAAAACGCAAAGTAAACTTGGCAACATCATAAATAGATCATGAAATAAATACTTTAACTTTACCTTGTAGATTTTTTTTCTGTTATAAATTCATAAATAAATAAATAAATAAATAAATAATGGAAAAAAGCATTTGTAATCTATTGTGCTGGTGTGTGTGTGTGTGTGTGTGGTGTGTGTGTGTGTGTGTGTGTGTGTGCGTGCGTGTGTGTGTTTTATTTTATTTTTTAAAGCATGTTTAATATAAAAGTGCATCAATATATAAGTGTAGTAGTGCTTCCGTGTTTCATTAAACAATTGATCCAAAGCAAAAATGATTCAGAGTAGGTGTAGTTTTTTTATTATTATTATTATTATTATTAAACACTGGTAAGCATCCATAACATTCAATATATTTAAGCCTTAACTGCTATACACATGTGCATGTATTTCAATGTATTTTAACAATATTTTGAGTTATTTATCACTCGCGTTGGTTTTTCGATTAAGCATATACTAAGGAAGAACATCTTTATGCATGGAGCACTGGAAACCAAAACAAAATGTTAACAGCTTTTTTTTCTGTTCTTTTCTGTTAGGGTATTACTGAATTGTTTGTCATCTTATCAAATGCAATAGTAGGCTACAGACTTATATACTTATTAAGAATCAAATGATAGTTGAAAGATTCCTTTAGAAATGATAAAAGGGAAGTCCTTCCTCGAATGTTTCCTGGGAAAATTCAGGAAATTGTAAGCTAGAATCTGTGACTTGATGACAAACAAACAAGTGAAAGAGATTACAACTCAATACACATACGAAACAACGCACAAATAGCGACTTTTACCATTATTTATACATGAATTCATCATTTTTATTAGCTGAGGTGCCAGGCCGTCGAAACCACGCCCTCTTTCTAAACGCACGTTCATTGGTCAATCTGTCTCCTGCAGGACACGCCCCTGACCGGCTGGGCTGTATATAAACAGGCCCTGATCTCTCACCAGCAACAAGTACCTCAAGGGTACAAGGAAAGTAACCTTTCCAGGATCTGCGATTTTGGTGTCTTGAGCAACACGTTGTTTCAGGATCGGGAGGAATTTGTCTTAATATTCCTAAATCCTCAAAAACTTTACCACTTGGGAAGCATTCAAGTATAGGCCTACCCATTTGTTGTTTTTAGCTTAACGCATAAAGATGGAGTTGTCGGATATTCCCTTCCCCATCCCGTCAGCTGATGATTTCTACGACGACCCTTGCTTCAACACCAACGACATGCACTTCTTTGAAGACCTGGACCCCAGACTCGTCCACGTGAGCCTGCTGAAGCCCGACGAGCATCACCACACGGAGGACGAGCACGTGAGGGCGCCCAGCGGGCATCATCAGGCCGGCAGGTGCCTGCTGTGGGCATGCAAAGCCTGCAAGAGAAAAACCACCAACGCTGACCGCCGCAAAGCCGCCACCATGAGGGAGAGGAGAAGACTGAGCAAAGTCAACGACGCTTTCGAGACCCTCAAGAGATGCACGTCCACCAACCCCAACCAGAGGCTGCCCAAAGTGGAGATCCTGAGAAACGCCATTAGTTACATTGAGTCTCTGCAGGCGCTGCTCAGGGGTCAAGAGGAAAACTACTATCCCGTTCTGGAACATTACAGTGGAGACTCCGATGCCTCCAGCCCGAGATCCAACTGCTCGGATGGCATGGTGAGAAGTTCATTGTATAGGCCTATACTGTAGAGATAAGTATCGTAATTATATTATTTTATTTAGTTTGGGCTATATTTATTTGGTCGTTCGTTCATTCAATAATGGGTTATACTTGGTTTTAAATGGTTTTATACTTATATAAAACTTGGTTTACTTATGGGCAAATAAGAATTATTATAGCCTACCGGGTTATAACTTGGTAGCATGTTATCTTTCTCGAATGATAATGTCACATTAAAAAATATATATATTTAAGCTTAATAATATTAAGCATTCATAGAATATTCAATAATTATTTGTAAAATAGGCTATGCTTTAAATGTGTGTCTTAACTTATTTTCTTTTTGTATTTTCTAGATGGATTTCATGGGTCCTACCTGTCAGTCGAGAAGACGGAGCAGATATGACAGCTCGTACTTACACGACACGACAAACGGTAGGTCATGCGTCGAGAACTGTCATTGTACTAAATAAACAAACACGCATTGAGTGAGTCACAGTTACAATTATTTCACAGAATTGTAAAAAATATTTGCGTTAAAATCACAATTGAGTTAAAAATTAAATCTGCTATTTTATCTCTGTTTTTTTTCCCCTTTACAGCTGACGCACGGAATGCTAAAGTCTCAGTGGTGTCGAGTTTGGACTGTCTGTCCAGCATCGTGGAGCGAATCTCCACAGAGACCCCCGCGTGCCCCGTGCTGTCGGTACCGGAGGGGCACGAAGGGAGCCCGTGCTCTCCGCAGGAGGGGTCTGTCCTGAGTAAGACCGGGGCCCCCACACCGTCCCCGAACAACTGCCCTCAACAGCAGCCTCAGGATCCCGTCTATCAAGTGCTTTAAAGATCCGCAACATTGCAAAACAAAATTGAAAAGGACAAATCTGAATTGAGAAACATTCAGCAGAAAAAACCCAGGCAAATCCGATCTTAACGACAAAAGAAAGACTATTTCGATCCACTGCTGGAAACTATAGGAACGAATGATCTTTCTTTCTTTCTTTCTTTCTTTCTTTCTTTCATTCATGCTGTGGAAAATGAATTCCATTATGAAATGGATCAGCAGATCAGCAGAAGTGAGTTTCTTAACTACGCTTATTTATATTATTGTATCCACGTGAAAATGTGACCACGTTGTTTTTTTTTGTTTTTTTTTCCTTTTGTGAATATATTTTCTGTCACCATCACCCTTTATTTCCTAATTATTTACGAGAGAATCGTAATTCAGATACGAAAAGTAGGACCACTTTTGTATATGTGTAAATAAGATCTGTTTTGTTAAAGCGAACGAACGTATTGTATTTAATGATGCCTGTTTGAAACACTAGCTTGTTGTGTCTTGTTAAACTTTATATTTATACTTCTTAAACGAGTGAATGTCGGATTAATAAAAAAATATAACTATTTATACCCGAATGTTTGGATGGGATGTTTTGATTTGGCCATTCCGTGAATTCGGCTGTAATGACACAATGGAATATTAATTTGAGACAACACGGTGTTAGCGGGACAGAAAACTGATGAAAGTGAAGGTTGTTGTTAAGATTTCATCAGGGTACAACTCATTCAACACGAAGCTCTCAAAACAAATTACCAATTTAGTCTATAAAATAATATTTTAGATGTTTACATGTTGTCCATTGCCAACGAACTCTGGCAACTTAGCGTTGATGAAACAATGTTTTTCTCGAAGCTTCCCCAAATTATTTGGTTCTAGTCTAGTGGACCATCTCAATCAAAATAGCTAAAAGCAAATAGCCGTTTATGAAATGGAGTAAAATGCTGGCTTCACATTAATTGCGATTCGATAACACTTGGGTCCATAATCTATAAACTTTCTTTCATGTAGGCTACATTTAGCTAACTATGAATGCATCCAAATATGAATCACATGCATGGCTATAGACTAATGAAAAGCTTCCAATTTAATCTACAGGAAACTGTTCGGTGATGTTAATGAAAACTAGAGTGATACTATTTTTTTTAATAATAGATCTATTATTTAAAATCGAATATTTCAGGGATGATCATTAATTTGTTTTGCTGAAAAGGGAGCTCTAATAGAAGACAGACATGATGTAGGCTAGCAACAGCACCATCTTGTGTACTGAACTTCATACATCATTAATAAACCGACACCTATGGTAAACATATATTTGCATAATGTTAACGTTTTATTTTTTTTTAGCTCTGATCATCAAATTGTGCATATAAACTTTCTTTCATGTAGGCTACATTTAGCTAACTA